GGGCTGAGAGAGAGTGACTGGCCTAAGGTCACCCAGCTGGCTTTGTGCCTAAGGCAGGACTCACAGTCTCTAGCCTGATGCCTTAACCACTAGACCAAACTGGCTCTCAATTTTGGCTATTTAGTGCATATTTAATAATTATTTACAATTTTAAATTGTATAGGTATATCACAAAACACACTGAACCCCAAATACACATTTTGATGAATAATTAATTGTTGGTTTTAGCTTATTTTAGATCTGAAAATGAAACTTTCCATCACTGAGGTATCTATTGCCTTCATGACTTAATGGTAGCTTTCTGAAAATATCTGGTCTGGTTGGTCACCGTGGGAGCTACAATACTGGGTAAGATGGGCCTTTAGTCTGAGCCAACAAGGTTCTTCTTATGATTTTATGGAGAGTTAAGTAAACCAAAGGATGGCCACCATAGTCAGACTCAGGAAGTAATTTTATATTTATGTTCAGTTTTTCTTACAGATAGCTCATTGGATTTTTGCCTTGCTATAGAGCAGCCTTTCCTCTTCTGATGGCTTTAAGATATATTGAGTCAATTCCCATATTCCCTAGTCAAGATGACCAATGGCTGTCTGGCTAAGGATTGTGGGAGTTGGTCCAGCCAATTGGAAGGGCAACAGGCTGGGGGAGAATATTGTAAAGCATCCCCCCAACACCTACAAGTCAATGTGTTGTGGTGCACAATATGTCACACAGGGATAAGAGATATGACCTGTATTCAGAGCATCAAGTAAAAAACTCCCTAATTAATAAGGCTATCTAATACAAGTTTTTGCCCAGGTTAATCTGTTTCAGAAAGCAGGCTCCCAGTCTCTGCTTGCAATCCTGTAATATAATGAACCTCTCAGTGTTTGTTCATACTTCTCTTTGAAACCAGTGCCAAACTTCTCTGGCTATACATTGATCAATATAATCTTACATGCAATGTGAAGAAACACAGATGCTGTCAGGATCTACGCAAACCAGAATCTTCAATTATTTTAATTGATTTTGCGTAGATCCTGACAGATGCCTCTGATGATGATGGAATATTTTCCATGGGAACTGCTGACCCTCCATCAGTTGAACTATCATAATGGAGTGTTTTCCAAGGGAACTAGCCTTGTCTAGATCAGAAGTACATTTATTTGTTGTACAACAGACTTGTAAGAAAAACCTCATTGCAGATTCATGAGATATCAGCAGTCAATGAATACCCTGAGAGTGTCCGACCACAGGTAGTGAAGCTAAGGAAATACCATTAATAGTATTAACAGCCTTAGTAAGTTGCCTTAGCAGGTTTCTCCTCACAGAGGTTAATTTCTTAGGATTATTTGGGTGCACAGATGGTTTTATTTCATGTATTTATCATTCATTTCAACTTCAGTCTTAAAATTTGCAAGGCTTAAACTATCATGGAAGGCAAATCTCACCTTCTCCTTCTTCCATATCACTGAGGGATCGCTCCTCTCCAAATCCTGAACTTGCTGAGCTCTGGCTACTTGTAATGCTGTCCAAGCGTTTCTTCAGGTCTGCAGAGATATCACTGTGTCCTCGCCCAGATCTGGTATTAATGGTCTATGACATTTAAAACAAACAAACAAACAAACAAAAGAGTACAATCAAAATTGGTATCATTCTCTGTTGTTATGGCAAAGAAAAAGGGGTGCAACCCCACAGTTTTTAGTTATAGGTAAACAATGGAAACTACTTAACAGAAGATGCCACAAAGTATGGGGAAAAATTAACACCTATTTTGCTGCAGCTATATATTGGCTTTCCACATACAAAGATCCCATAACATGTTAAGGCGAATGCTGTTCTTGCAGAGATATCCCATTCGACAAGTGTTCAAAGTACAACACTTTCTCCATAGTTCATTCATTGCTCTCGTGATTGTGCTATGGCATGGAGTAGTGTAAGTGCAGTAATGCCTATTAGATATGTCCCTGAGCTAAGAAGAAAAAGAGCCAGTTTTTAGATGGCAAGGAACAGTTTGGATGCTGGTTCCCAGTAGCTCCATCTAACATAATTCATACAATTTCTAGAGTAGGAAATAACCTAAGCCTGATGACTCCTAAATCACAACCCAAAAGCACGCATGGGAACTAACTGTGCTCCTTACTTTTCCCATATAGCAGTTTCCCATATAGCAGTTCCAGCTAAAACAAATTGTGGGCAAATAGTGCTCAAATTATTAGAGCAAATTAGCATGACTAATTTGGTTCCCTGTGTTCTTTGACAAGAGGGAAAGTAATGGCAGCACCATGTTGGAGGACACAGCTATGATACATAATCTGTCCTTCATTCCTTAAGGCTTAGGTATGCAGTTTGCAATCCAAGGGCCACATCTACTCATTAAATTAATTAAAAGCAAAAAGGACAGTGCAGTGTACCTAAGGTGTTGGATTAGAAGTTGGATTAGAAGTGAGAAGACCCATGTTCTAGTCCACCCTCAGCCAAAGAAACTCATGGGGGAACGTCAGGCCAGTCACCATTTCTCAGCCCAACCTACTCACAGATTGTTGTGGATAAAAATTAGAGGAAAGAGTGCTATGTACACCACTTTGTGCACCTGAATGAAAGGCAAGATAATAAATCTAATCTACAGTAAGTCAACCTCAACATTGCCTTTAATGTCATTTTCATTCCATATTTTAATGGCTCTTCCCTTTTTAGCAGTGCAGCCCCAGAAATGCTGTCAAAAGGTTGGTATAACTCTTGGTTTGACAAAAGTTGGGTGCCCCTGCCTTCAGCTGTTTTCTTGCCCAGACAACATCCTTCCACCATCAATGCTGAAGTAAGATTAGATGCTTATCAAGATGGCTTGTGTACACGGAAGGCTACCATTTTGCTCTCTGCCTCTGGTAGCAAATTGTTTGTGGATAGTTCTGCTCAGAAATCAGTCCTAGGCATTTATGTCTGCACTTTACATGTAAAGGACTATACTCTTAGTGGTAACTATCTTAGCTGATTGGAACCACTGAGTAATATGAGAGAGAGCCACAAGGAAGCAAATGCCATTTTACCTGAATAACAGGGGAAGAGGCCTAAAGCTAGTCAATGGCTTCATGATGAAAAGGTTAAATGTATAATCTACTGAGAAAAGAATAGGAGTGGAATTGCTCTCCACATCTCTACGCTTAATAATTGCAAAATGTGAAAAGGGCTTACCAAAAGTAGAGGCCAACCAACTTAATGAAGCTTTCATTTCATGAAGCATTGTTAGGAACACTTAGTATTTTCATTTGGTGTGTGTTTATACTTAAGCATGGTTCAAGACTGATTTTTTCCCCCTCAACAACCACCAAGTAAAATAGGTTGAGCTGAAAGAGTATGACTGTTCCAAAGTCACCCAGGAAGGATCTGGGGCTGATGGTAGATTAAAACCTGAGTCTTCTATTCCTATTCAAATACCAACGACTACACTGCACAACATTCAACAAATCTCATCATAAAGACACTGAAGGGCTCTCCAAGCTGTGAAATCTCACCTTGTAAGGGACAAAATCATTTCGCTTGCTTCTTAAATACACAGACAAATTTCCAAACTTGCAGTATTCCACAATCACCATGAGTGGACCTGAACAAAGTACAATGAAAAAAAATGGCAAATCATGAAAATTAACCAAAGCATATCCAATTTTAAAACAAAAGTAGGGCAAACATCATCAGACAGAATTTAAGCCTTAAGATAGGAAGAGTTAAGAATTAGGAAGGTATTAAACAGACATCAACCTGTCCTGCTGACTAATTCTCTGTAAGTTTTCTGTTAAATATTTCTGTTTAGTTTTGTGGCTTTTTTTCTTGATTGCTGAACTTCAGAAAGGTCTACAAGATGAGTTGTTTGAAATCTATTCATGATTGATTGTTAGGGTAAAATCAATTAACACAGTTTGTAAGATAAATCAGAGATGTTCTCTCTTAAGTAGCAACACTGACCTCCTGGTTTTGTGCAAGCCCCAAGTAGGTTGACCACATTGAGATGATGGCCAATATGAATGAGAATTTTGAGTTCAGACATCAATGCTCGATGTTCACTGTGTGTGGCACCCTCTGCAAAAGAAAAGGAACACAGATAGTAGCAGTAATAAACTGAATTCTGGAGATTGTAGTCCCACTATATCTGGAGAGCCTCCAGTTAGTTGAGCTACCAACTTCCATTCCAAAAGATATGGAAGAATTACATAATCCCTAAGGTCTATCTGGCTTCTTTGCAGTAACATAAGATCCTAAACAGGACCCTGAAAGTCTGCTCTAAACCTTGAGTCACATTTATTAAAGCATTTTATAGGAATGGCTACTCCACCAGGAGTTCTTTTGGACTTTACCTGGAGCAATTAACATCTCTATTTTATGCCTCATCTCTCACATTACAATGGGTTGAGTTTCTTTCTACTATAGACAAGTCTAAATGGTGGGCTCTTTCTTGAGGCAAACCACAGGAGAGATCAAAATAGTATTTTGTCCAGATTAGTGGGGCAAATTTAGTAGAGATTTGTTGCTATTAGAAATTGCATAGAGAATTTGCAGAATATGCATAAGAACTAGGCATCAGTTAATGTCAGAGACCTGCAGAATTTACATATACTAATACCGTGAGTAAGGAATATGATGTATTGCACAGCTATCATGCATAGCCCCCAGTAAAGTTTGTGCAAACTAGGGTGGTGGCAGTCCTGAAATTTCTCCATTGGTCAGAAAATGACTGTATTCTTTCCATTCAGATGATGCATGCTTGCTAATGACAGATGTGTGATGTGTAAAATTCAATGTAAAAACCTTGTTCAGCAACAGCTGGTGATTATCCAGACTAGCCAGGAAATGCAGAAATGCATCTGTTGCTGCAGTCAGCCTGTGCACATTACCTGTCTTTTGGTGACTAGGCACAATTGTCAGGACCACAGAACAAAGCAGGAGAACATCTTTCACCCCTGAAGCTGCTAAAAAACAGCTAAATACAGTACAACTCTCCTCATCCAAGAGTTATAATCAGTGTAGCTTTTACATTTGCTTACCATCACTTCCTCGCTAAGTGATTTTAGATTATTGATTCTTACCTTTCAGCATTTTGACCGCTACGGTTCTACAGGTAGTTGTTTTGTCGATTCCAAATGCATCTGCTTCAAGAACTTGACCAAATGCTCCTCGACCAAGTGGCTTACCTGGATAGGTATGAAAAAGAAAAAGAGTAACATTTATCCCCAAATGGCAGGAAAGAAATTTACCCATTCCATTAAAAAAAAACTGAGGAAGGAGGGGAAGAATCTGAGAATGCCACCAGTACAAAGAAACCAGTCAGACAAAAGAAGAATCTAGCCATTGTGCATCCTTGCAAATATGTCTCAGTGCTGGCCATGGATATTGTGTCATCAAACCAAATATAAGGTTGTGTTATTCTTGAGTATATGAGATTATAGGGAGGGCAGCTCAATGCAGGAGACCCAGGCAGGAGTATAAGCCCAAGGCCTTGCCTTAACTGGGTCTCTATTATTTAGCTATAACCCTGGTAACTTTCCTGTGAGGTCAGCCAATAGTACTGTGGCATCGGGGCATTCAGGCTGGGCTTGCTTAAGACCACCAAGAGAGTTTGTGGCTATAGCAAAATGGGAGCTACAAATATCGTGATGCTACAAAGTCATTCTTCTGAGAACATCTCTGAAGAAGTAGCAAAACTGATGGTATGAACTTGCTCAACCCCAATGATTCAGAATTAGAAACATGATGCTCAAGAACTGCGCAGCTGATGTCACTTTATGAAAGGACAGGTGCCAGGAAGGGCTGCCCTCCTCTGATAAGAAAGTCCTGGCTGCCAACTGCATACAGCTGGGTGCATGTTTGGGCTGCTCTGTGACAAAGGCGTGTATTCTGTTTATCCTGAGAGTTTCTTTTATTACTACATAGCATGTTTTATGGCTAATGGCATTATTAAGAGATGGATTCCAACAGTCACAGCTTTGGCACATTCCCTAGGGCTGTGGCACAGCTGAGATTTCAGTGCCCTATGTGATACACTACCAATGACTCCATCATTCAGGATTGGTGGAAATCATTGAAAATGTGCCATGTCTTTTTCTGCATTCTGCCACACTTCTCTTTGACTGTCTGATGACCTCCCTCTCCTAAAGGATGGGACCTGGCTGGCTTCCAGTGCTAATTAAAGCCCATGAACCCTCCTGGGAAACTCAAACATTAACCCCTTGACAAAGGATACCCTGAAACACAGCCTATAAACAATCTACAATGTCTACAAGTTTACTTTGTAGTCTCAGGAATGTTAACACATTCTCTGCATTGAAGAATGTTCCCAGTGGAAGTTCCAAGCACAAATGTGTTGACTTTCTAAGTGTCATGTGATCCCCAAGCCAATGTCCACTCCCCCAAAATTCTAGTTTCATGGCTATCAGGACAGACACTTATTTGTCCAAAGGAAGAGAGCACACCTAGCTTCAGCCTGTCCCGGGGGAACTCCCATTTATTGGCATCATAAGGGAGACGTTCACACTGCTCATCCATAGGGACTTCATCAGGATCCATAATGATAGACAGGTAGCCAGTCTTAAGTTCTCCTCCATTGGCCTGAAAGAAACATAGTATCAGCAATAGTCAGTTATCCTTACTATTGAGCAATCGCCATCTCTCACATTTACTAGCTTTGTTAAGATTTGAAGTACTTCTTTTTCTTTTTTCCAGAAATGCAAGGAAGCCATTTCCCGTAACTGCTTTGTGGGGCATATACCCATCAACCATCATTAGAAACTTGCTTTATTAATATCTGAAAAGAGGACTTTTTCTCTCTCCACCAATTAAAATGAAAATATTTACATGCCTGCAATGCTCTGCAGGAATGTGATGCACCAAGAAAAGGGAAAAGCCTCTGTTGATTTCAAGACAAAGCCGAGAACCAGACAAAAGAATGCCCGTCAGGTTTCATTTGTTATGCAAGACTAATGCCAACAGGACAGTGGGAGAGTTAGTTTCATTACCCGTTTAACAGTCCGGAGAATGATTACGAGGAGCAGCCAGAAGAACATGGCAATGACTGCTGTTCCAACAAGAATAATGAGCTCAAGGTTTGTTTTCTCATCAGTGCCTGGGAAGAAACAATGAAATGATTCATTGATAGGATCCAAAGCCTGTTGGGATAGGTCATCAGCTGAAATACTGAAAGGGCACTCTTGTCCACGAAAGAAAAACTTCAGATGCCCAACACCTAACAGGTCTAAGACAAAAATATGTTAAGAAAACAGCATATCTTTCTTCAGAACAAAATATAACGACCACCGCCCTTTCCTGTACCATACAAAAACGGAACATAAAGATTGATCATAATACTATACTGGTAAACATATTATCAAGTATCTTCTTCACTACTGGACTATAAGCCAGAGAGTCACATAGCTATGGCAGCAATAATGACCTACTGATCAGGACCAAACAAATAAAAACCAACCAAAGCGTGTCTGGATCTAATTCAATGTTCAAATATTTTCCCATTTAAAACAACAGGAGAAGATTTTTCAGTTAGCGTGAATCTTTCAGCTCCAGTAAGATTTGCACAGCTCCAGGAAAATGTGACAGTTTTCTAATTTCTCTGAACGTGTATCAATGAGAGATCCAGGCTGCATGAAGAAGATGGAAAATGCCAAGGAACTAGCAATGGGTCATTTCATCAGTGAAACAAGAGGGTGAAGAAAAAGTATAATTAGGCTTAGGCAGATGATAAGCCAACTCCAAAGAAAGACTAATCTTATTGACAGAAGGTGAATAGAGAAAGTGAACTAAAAGGGGATTAGTGACTCTAACCAACAAAGGACATAGATTGGTCTTTCCCAAACTGTTCTTCTCCAGATTTGTTGTGATTGCAAGTCCCCATTCCTAGCCAATAGGTCATCTGGGATTTACGGCTCCAACACCACTTGAGAGTGTCAGGTTGGGGAAGACAGGCAGGGATAAATGAAGGAAACTCTGTAGGACATCCTATATGAAGTTAGATGATTAGAATAGAGTGACAGGCTCAACAGCACAGGCTAATTCCGTTCTAGTATTTTTTTTAGAGTGTCTAAGAACAAAAAGCTGACCTTTTTAAGCTGGACCTGACCCTTAGAGTGGGTGAAACCAAATGTTAAGTGTCATCCTCCTACTGCTGCTTCTATGCTTCTATTTTTTATTTTTGTTGTTAACGTTTTGGTGGGACTAAGGAATCAAATGATGTCTAAGCCTTTTACCCCTTAAAATTCACCCATATCACCTAAAATGGGTCCTGGCTTCACCTCCTTTTAAGGTATGGGTCTCAACAAGCCATGCAAAGTCAGCTGCAAATCTCACCCCAATGACCCACTAGGAAGGGAAGAAATGTTGCCCTGCTGACCCATCACCTAATCTGGCCCTTCAGGACAGATTTCCTATGCTTGATGTCCATTGTCA